GTCTCTTTCCGCCCCTATGGGTCTATGTGCAAGCACGTGGATCTCTGTGCGATTCTATGCATCTCTTGGTGTATCTGTGGGTTTCTTTGCGAGTCTATGGGTCTCTGTGTATCTCGAGTGGTTTTAAATGTATGGGTCTCTTTCCGCCCCTATGGGTCTCTGTGCAAGCACGTGAATCTCCGTGCGAGTCTATGCATCTCTTGGTGTATCTGTGGGTTTCTTTGCGAGTCTATGGGTCTCTGTGTATCTCGAGTGGGTTTAAATGTATGGGTCTCTGTGCGCCTCTATGGGTCTATGTGCAAGCACGTGGATCTCTGTGCGATTCTATGCATCTCTTGGTGTATCTGTGGGTTTCTTTGCGAGTCTATGGGTCTCTGTGTATCTCTAGTGGGTTTAAATGTATGGGTCTCTGTGCGCCTCTATGGGTCTCTGTGCAAGCACGTGGATCTCCGTGCGAGTCTTTGCATCGGTGTGTCTATAGACTCTGTGTTAGTCTATGGGTGTCCGGTCTATGCTTATCTGTATGTCTAGAGGGCGTGTTTATATATGAAAAAACCTATACATTACATAAAAAATATATTATCGTTATTAAATGGAGAAGGATTTAACGTGAGGGGTGAGCGAGGCACAAGCTATTGGTGAAATATTCTGTCCCCTTTCTTAAATGGATTTCATGGCAGGAACTATTAGCATCTAACCCTACAATATTCCATTAGCTTTTGCCAGTGGCTAAGAGCAAAGCCTCTACAATTAAATTACATCGGCCTTTTAATTTTAAGAAGATTAAAGTGGTATTCCCCCCCATCCCATTAAAAAAAAACTTATTTGAACATCCCGACCACAATCTTAAACACACCCGTGTTACAGAATATATTTCTTTTCATCATTAATCAAATTTACGTGGGCGCTGCGACACCGTGAAATCCACACGTTCCGGAATAAATGATTCCCATGATGGCTTGCTCAGGATGATCAGGCTCCTGGTGACTTTGAATGCAGGTAGCGTTCGGTGGTTGTTGGGAATTGTTACGTGGTAACAATGAGGCTGTAAAACTTGGAGGTTGGGAATAGGAAGGTGAGGTTGTGGTGATGAGTGGAGCAGGATGGGAGGTGGAAGCTACTTGGAGGTTGGGACGTGGCAGGAAAGCATTGGTGGTGTAATCAGGAAGAGTTAGAAGGTTGTGTTGGGTCGGACACGTGTGCAGGGTTTGTATGCATGTTGAACATCTTTCAAACCGTACGTAGCCGAGCACGCTAGTCGCAGGCGCATGTACACGTGTACGGGATGGAGGAGCATAGGGTAGGCAACTTTGAGGTTGGGAATATGATGAGGATGCGGTGATGGGTGGTACACGTGTGCATGTTGAACTTCTTTCCCACCGTACGTAGCCAACCGTGCTAATCGGAGGGTAGAGGATGGGTTAAGCAACTTGAAGGTTGAGAATAGGAGGGGGCTGTGATGGGTATGACACGTGTGCAGGGTATAGGAAGAGGAGGAGTAGGAAGGCAGGTGACCTAGACGGGCATTGGAGGGGCACCCAGAGGCTGATGACCAAGGGGACGAGAAGACCCGAAGCCAGACGAGGCTGTCAGATCAGATCAGAGAAATCGGATTTCAGATGTCAATTTTGTGACGGTTGTGGAATCTGACAGGAAGGTGGTGATGGCGATGTGGTGGCATGAATGAGGGGTTGGGGGGTGAGGGGAACGCCCAGGAGTTGGTTGCAGATATTTCGTAACTCTTTTGTGATGAGAGCTAGAATCGAGCTCTGGTATTTCCGGGGTTTTCTCATCGCAGTGCAGCGCTAATCCACTACACTACCGCACCCCCCACAAATGTCTCTCTCTCTATATATATACACACACAAGTGTCTACACGCACGCATGCAAGCGCAGGGCAATGTTATTTTGGATACAGTGAGGGAAAAAAAATATTTGATCCCCTGCTGATTTTGTACGTTTGCCCACTGACAAAGAAATGATCAGTCTATAATTTTAATGGTAGGTTTATTTGAACAGTGAGAGACAGAATACCAACAAGAAAATCCAGAAAAACGCATGTCAAAAATGTTATAAATTGATTTGCATTTTAATGATGGAAATAAGTATTTGAGCCCCTCTCAATCAGAAAGATTTCTGGCTCCCAGGTGTCTTTTATACAGGTAACGAGCTGAGATTAGGAGCACACTCTGAAAGGGAGTGCTCCTAATCTCAGCTTGTTACCTGTATAAAAGACACCTTTCCACAGAAGCAATGAATCAATCAGATTCCAAACTCTCCACCATGGCCAAGACCAAAGAGCTCTCCAAGGATATCAGGGACAAGATTGTAGACCTACACAAGGCTGGAATGGGCTACAAGACCATTGCCAAGCAGCTTGGTGAGAAGGTGACAACAGTTGGTGCGATTATTCGCAAATGGAAGAAACACCAAAGCACTGTCAATCTCTCTCGGCCTGGGGCTCCATGCAAGATCTCACCTCGTGGAGTTGCAATGATCATGAAAACGGTGAGGAATCAGCCCAGAACTACACGGGAGGATGTTGTCAATAACCTCAAGGCAGCTGGGACCATAGTCACCAAGAAAACAATTGGTAACACACTACGCCGTGAAGGACTGAAATCCTGCAGCGCACACAAGGTTTCCAGGCTCAAGAAAGCACATATACATGCCCGTCTGAAGTTTGCCAATGAACATCTGAATGATTCAGAGGACAACTGGGTGAAAGTGTTGTGGTCAGATGAGACCAAAATGGAGCTCTTTGGCATCAACTCAACTCGCCGTGTTTGGAGGAGGAGGAATGCTGCCTATGACCCCAAGAACACCATCCCCACCGTCAAACATGGAGGTGGAAACATTATGCTTTGGGGGTGTTTTTCTGCTAAGGGGACAGGACAACTTCACCGCATCAAAGGGACGATGGACGGGGCCATGTACCGTCAAATCTTGGGTGAAAACCTCATTCCCTCAGCCAGGGCATTGGAAATGGGTCGTGGATGGGTATTCCAACATGACAATTACCCAAAACACACGGCCAAGGCACCAAAGGAGTGGCTCAAGAAGAAGCACATTAAGGTCCTGGAGTGGCCTAGCCAGTCTCCAGACCTTAATCCCATAGAAAATCTGTGGAGGGAGCTGAAGGTTCGAGTTGCCAAACGTCAGCCTCGAAACCTTAATGACTTGGAGAAGATCTGCAAAGAGGAGTGGGACAAAATCCCTCCTGAGATGTGTGCAAACCTGGTGGCCAACTACAAGAAACGTCTGACCTCTGTGATTGCCAACAAGGGTTTTGCCACCAAGTACCAAGTCATGTTTTGCAGAGGGGTCAAATACTTATTTCCCTCATTCAAATGCAAATCAATTTATAACATCTTTGACGTGTTTATCTGAATTTTGTTGTTATTCTGTCTCTCACTGTTCAAATAAACCTACCATTAAAATTATAGACTGATCATTTCTTTGTTAGTGGGCAAACGTACAAAATCAGCAGGGGATCAAATACTTTTTTCCCTCACTGTATGTACACAATACCCCCCCTTTGAGTATTTTTGATCAAAAGCGCCTCTTCAAAGCAGCGACTGCAACGGGGATGCTTTGTGTCGCCAGAGAATGTCGTCTCCTTTTCAAAGTTCCCTTTTATCCGGAATTATGAAATGTTTATGGATCAGAAATCACAATCACGTGCCACTCTCTGCGCGCTCCCTCCCTCCCACGACTTTTCCCCCCTCGCCCTCCTCACACACATGGCTTATTTTAATATTTTTATTTAATTTTTGTTACTTTGCCAGGTAAGGCCCACTGAGCTGCTGTGTAGCTCTTTTTTTTAGAAGCGACCTGGCCATCACAAATGATAGCTCAACGAAGTGAGCTTATCATCATCATCGTCACGTGGAAATGTACAGCGGTGAAACACTCTCAACGCGCGATGTTCATTCTCAACGTGGAAGTAAAAAAACCCGGGGGACCCAGAGTAAAATCCACGCGACCACGGGGAGGAAAACTCCAAATATACAACAGATCGAACCCACGACCTCATGTATAACAGGCGAGGTAGTTAACATCTCCTAGCCATCGCTGCGCCCTGATGCTGGCCACCCACCCCGTCGTTTGCCGTTCCAGCCTTTGTGGGTGCTCGCTAACAGCACTTGCCCCAACAGCATTGTGTCGGCTATACGGGAGATTCATAATAAAGGTTTTTGGGTTAGATCGCGTTTATTTATAAATGTGTCGTAACCCTCCACCACCCGACACGGCCAATCAGCAAAAAAAGTGTCACGTTGACAAAAGACAAATAATTCACTACTTTAGCCCACCGGTGTGTTGAAGAGTGAATCCACGTTTACAGTTTGAGTACGACCAGAATGGTCACCATTCTGGCGAATTGCCCGATGATGCTGGATGTATTTACCAGCGAAACGTCGTACTCAAACTGTAAATGTGGATTCACTCTTCAACACACCGGTGGGCTAAAGTAGTGAATTATTTGTCTTTTGTCAACGTGACACTTTTTTTTGCTGATTGGCCGTGTCGGGTGGTGGAGGGTTACGACACATTTATAAATAAACGCGATCTAACCCAAAAACCTTTATTATGAATAATATTGGTCGCGAAAGCCTACGTGTTAAACTATATGGGAGATCTTTGTCTTTTGGTAATTGTTGGTGGTGCCAGTGGTAAATACCTAGCTAAACTAGTATTTGACCAGGTAAGGCCCACTGAGCTATACAGCTATTTTTCATAAGCGACCTGGCCACAAATGATAGCTCAACGGTATGGGCTTATCAAAATCATCATTATCATCGTATGGAAATTTATAGCAGCCAAATACTCGAAACGCGTGATGTTGATTCTAAATGTGGAGGGAAAACTCGGAGGACCCGGAGAAAAATCCACGCGACCACGGGGTGAAAGAGAGAGAGAGAGAGACACGCAAACTCCAAATATACAGCAGGTGTCAGGGTCGGGATCGATCCGACGACCTCCTGCATACCAGGCGAGGTAGTTAACATCTCCTAGCCACCGTGGGGCGGTAACGCCGCCCGGCCGGTAGCGCTTTCGTCGCTTGCTGCAGAGGGGGTCGCTGTTCGATGCAGGCAGGGGGCACAGCGAACCCCCCCCCCCCCCCCGCGGTTAATACTGCGCGTGACACGAACTCAAACTAAAGTATATACCAGGACGCGTCCCGTTCCGCTTCACAGGTGGACGTTAAAGATCGCGTGATCTTGTTTTTGAAAATGGCAGTGGGCTGCCTCCCCCTCCTCCCCCCCACGTTGTGTTACCGTGCCAGAGTCGTTGGGTCTACTTTTGCCAAATTTAAAAAGCAATCACAAACGCAACAACTTACTCGATTTTGTAACGACAAAGATTCCCCCCGTTATGTATCCACGGGGACATTTTTTTGCCGCTATCAAATTTTATGGCAAAATAAGAGCAGGGTTTTAAGCCTTTCTGCCAATTAAACAGGTGTCAAGACGTTCAAACACCAAAATAGCTGCCTCACCACCCTCCCCCCCCCCACTTTTTTGTCGTTTCTTTGCGAGGCATCGAGCCTCCGTGCTGAGCCCGTAACAGACCGTCTGGCTCGCGTCGCCTTCCTCCCTCGAGCAGCACCAACCGACGGCCGCCACGGCGCACGAGTGTCCGAGCGGCCGAGCAGCGGCAAACGAAACCCCACGCGCGCCCAAGCCGCCGCTCGTCTCCCAGGTAGGCAGGTACGCACCTTGATGTCTCTCGTCAACCTAGTGGGTGGGGGGCGGCGGGAGGGGGGCCTGGAACCGAGATCAGATTCCTCGTCACCGACGTTGGGGCCGCGAGCGGGGTTCCAACTCGGGTGTGATGGGTTCTCGTGGCGCGGCGCAGCGCCCTAACCGCCGCGCCACCACTCGCACGAGGGAAGCCAGGGACAGCGAGCTTGCGGTGGAGCGGCCGCTGCAGACTGCGTCTGGTGAAACGTAGCGGCGGCTTCCTCCGTGCGATGATGGTCCTTGCGCGATGCAAGAACGACGGATTGCCAAGTGCCAGCCGTGCTGAATTGTGAACGACGGCAACAGCCCCGTTTTACGTCGGGGATGCGTTCCTGAATATCGAAACGGCGTTATATGGAGGCGATTGGTGGTGTGGTGGTAGTAGTAGGTGGTGATGGTGGTGGAGGAGGCGAAGGGGATGAGAGGCGACGGATAACGAGAGAGGACGGACGGTGATGCCGTCTGCGACGTGGGTGTGGGGGTTGAGGGTGACGCAAATCGGGTGGCGGTGTTAATAAAGTGACGACGTTATTTGCGAAACGACGTGAAGGGGGGGAAAGTACGTTAATCGGAGTATCACCGTAATTTCTGTGTTTTTGGAGTGTGCGTGTGCGTTTTGGGTCTCGATTAAGTCGGCTGGAGTGTCCATGATGGCGTATAGTGGTGCACTAGTTCTGCATCGATTGTAAATGATAACCAGGGGCGGGGGGGGGGGGGTGGAGTGGGCGTACTCATGGATCCCGTGACGCTTGACAGCACGCGTTATCCCACTGGAACAGTTTCATTATCGATAAACTATAATCATGCAGCATTGGCGAGTTTCCCCTCCGTCTGTCCACGCACGCGCGTGATGCCTCCCCAAATCGGTACGTCAGACGACAGCAAAAAAACACAAATGGGTGCGGAGTGATAATTAATCATAATTTAATTATCCAGGAAGCTACACTGTGTCACGTGGACTCTCCACTTACTAGGGCGCCTTCGCCATTTGGGTATATATATTTATTTTTAATCGCAGGATATTGTCAGCCAATGAGTAAGTCGTGTGTACAAGTGTAGGAGGAAACCTGAGCACCCAGAGAAAAGCCGCTCCTTGCGCGAGGGAGCAACACTCCACCCGCGCCTCTGATTTTGCACGGTTGGCTACGTACGGTGCGACAAAAACAGCTTATCGTGCGCTACATTTACATGCACGGACAGCAACCGAAACGCATGGCGATTAGTCCACAACTGTTGTACCGCCTTCTCCTGGCGAGCCGGGGGTATGGGCAGCTCCTCGACGCTCACGTGGGAGGGAGTTTCGCAGCGCTCAGTGCGGCGATCCACCAACCCCCCACCCCCTCCTCTCTCGCTGCCGCCCGCACGTGGCCTGCATCGCGGGTCACGTGCACAGCCGCAGCCGAACGATCGTTAAATCGCTCGGACACGTGACACCTGCGTTTGTGTGGCCGTGGGCGGGGAGTTTTTGTCAATTTTGGGGCGTTCGTCGTCATGAAGTGATCTCGCCCAAACATCTATTATGAACAATCATCATTAATTCATCATCAGCAGCAGCAGCAGCAGAAACAGCAACTTTAACTCTACTCTCAATGCCATCGTTATCGCGGACACCGATTTTGCTCACTCGTTTCGACTTAGATCATAGGTCGTAGGTCAGATATAGCTCATCAATAGTACTTGGTCAGAATGTGCCCTTACTGGGCTTTGTACGACCGACATTACAAAAGTTCTGACACTGACTCGCAGACATACGGGCAATCAAAGCAACCGATGATGGTATGTAAAACGATGCCTCAAAATGATGAGTTCGACTTGACCATGGCTAGAATGTGAACTCGCCCTCGAATGATTGATTGATTGATTAGGAGACACGCAGCTCAAACTGTCAAGTTGCGGCCCTAGCCCCGGTGAGAGTGAGCGGTGTATCTTGTTGACTCCTGCCCGCTTTTATTGATCCAAACACGATACGGTTCCGTACCTCCGTGGCTTGCGTGCCACCACGGGAGATGGAAAATTCGGATTTAATAGGAAGCTCCTCCTCCCTCCCCCTCCTCCTCACGTCCCTGCCTCCCACCACTTTCCTGCCATGGACAGTTATGAATTCATAATACGAATTTGGTTCCCGAGTAAAGCTCATTGAGCTAATAAGATATGTTTTCAAGGGTGGTGCGACTCTGCCCGCAGGCAACATCAAAGCATTTCAAGGTTACATACACACATTTAAATAAACACAATTCAACAACACGCTCCTTGTCCTCTGATGATGAGGGATGTAAGAATAAGTTATTTGGCGATGTTGTTTTGTGGGTTTCTTTTGTTATTTACCAGTGCGGTGGGGGGGGGGGGGGTGCTGCAATCATTCCCGTCCAGTCGACGTTCCTGGCGACGGCGTTGCTTTAAATAACAATCAGCACAACTTTTAATCGGCGTTGCCGCATCATCGATCGTCATCTTCGTGACCATTGTTTGCCCGCTCTCGATAATCGCGGGGGGGGAGGGGGCAGTAGGGGGGGGGGGGGCTCGTTCGAGCCCAGGAGCAAAAACCAAAACCCACCGATGTCGTCTTCCCGATCGCCCCTTCGATGGAATTGTTCATCCTGCTGCGGTCGTCCGTCGGTCTCCGATCAAGCGTCGGCGCTGCGCCTCCTGTGTGAAGGTTAATCACAGCCCCCCCCCCCCCCCCCGGACACATTATCCCCCCCCCCGCACGCTTTTGTCGGTTAATGCGACGGTGTCGCTTGGCATGACGCCGTGAGCGAACTACCTGGAGGTGAAGTTCCCTGCCCACTCCTCTGCCTCCCCATAGAGAGAGAAAACAGGGGGAACATAGACATAGAGTAGGGAGAGAGGGGGGTAGAGAGAGAGGGGAGGAGGAGGGGGGGGGTAGAGAGAGAGGGGTAAGAAGGAGGAGAGCAGAGCAGAGCGTGACATCTTTCGTGAAATATTTCATTTACACAGGGGGGGGGGGGCGGGGGTGGGGGGCACATAAAGCAAAGCATTGAAAAAGCCCAAAAACAATGAAATGATGAACGGAGCACAGTGCCGACTACACCGAGCATCTTGTTTCTTCTGATCGTAAAATAGAGAGAGAGGGGAGAGAAAGAGAGGGGAGAGAGAGAATAGAGAGAGTGTCCACTACCCTACTCCGTACCGTCTCGCAAACTCATCGTCAGTGTCGTCGCGGCGGGAGAATATGACTACAACAACAACAACAAATGCCGCGCAGACAATTTGGCCTCGCTTCCACAATCTTCTCCCTCGTGCTAACCACGCGACCTTCCGCCAGGCCCCAAACGTTTCGGCAGCGCTGCTTGAAAACCACCACGACTCGGCGCTTATTCCTCACTCGCACACCACCTCTCGTCCTGACTCGGACAACGAAGCGTCAGGAGACGCTTTGTTATTAACACAGAATCGTCTAAACTAGATTTGAAGTTTTCGTGACTGCAGGGATCCATATACTCTTTGGTGCTTTCGGCAAAGTCACGTAGGTAGAAAATAAAATTAAATCACGTGACGTTTCGGGCGCAACACAAGCGTCCGTCATCAGGTGGGACAATCACAGCAAGAGACAATTGCTGAAGTGGGGCAAAAGGGCTGCTGTAACAAAAGGCTATATAGCCCTTTTGCCCACTTCAGCAATTGTCTATTGCTGTGGTTGTCTTTGTAGTAGTAGTGTCTTTATATTTTTAGTCGTGTCTTTGTAGTAGTGTCTTTGTAGTAGTTGTAGTGTCTTTGTAGTAGTGTTCTTCTTCTTTGGTTCTTTCGGTAAAGTCACGTAGAATGAGAATAAAATAATAAATTGATAAAATAAAATAACACAATAATATTCTCACGACGTTTCGGCCACAACCCAAGCGGCCTTCATCAGGTGAAGGGACGAGACTGTCTGGAGGACAGCGCTGGAGTGAAAAAGCCACGCTCAGATCGCGCCCTTTAAGCTGTGTGAGAAGAAACAAAGCGCCTTGACAAAGGAATTAGCATATAATTTAGCATTGAAATGGCTGAGTGATTAGCTTGTGACTGGTCACAGAAATGGCTATGTTAAAGTTAAAGCATACACATCCGCAGAGGCACCCCTTGACAGTAGTAGTTATTTTATTTTATCAATTTATTTTATTCTCATTCTACGTGACTTTACTGAAAGAACCAAAGAAGATGAATCCTTGCAGTCACGAAAGCTTTAAATCGAAATATAGTAGTAGTGTCTTTGTAGTAGTGTCTTTGTAGTAGTAGTGTCTTTGTAGTAGTGTCTTTGTATTAGTGTATTTGTAGTAGTAGTAGTGTATTTATAGTAGTAGTGTCTTTGTAGTAGTGTCTTTGTAGTTGTAGTGTCTTTGTCTTTGTAGTAGTAGTAGAGTCTTTGTAGTAGTTGTAGTGTCTTTGTAGTAGTGTCTTTGTAGTAGTGTCTTTGTAGTAGTAGTGTCTTTGTAGTAGTGTCTTTGTAGTAGTAGTGTCTTTGTAGTAGTGTATTTGTAGTTGTAGTGTCTTTGTAGTAGTGTATTTGTAGTAGTAGTGTCTTTGTCATTATAGTAGTAGTGTCTTTGTAGTAGTAGTGTCTTTGTAGTAGTAGTAGTGTCTTTGCAGTAGTGTCTTTATAGTAGTAGTGTCTTTGTAGTAGTGTCTTTGTAGTTGTAGTGTCTTTGTCTTTGTAGTAGTGTCTTTATAGTAGTAGTCGTGTTTTTGTAGTAGTAGTGTCTTTGCAGTAGTGTCTTTGTAGTTGTAGTGTCTTTGTCTTTGTAGTAGTGTTTTTGTAGTAGTAGTGTCTTTGAAGCAGTAGTGTCTTTGTAGTAGTGTCTTTGTAGTAGTAGTGTCTTTGTAGTAGTGTCTTTGTAGTTGTAGTGTCTTTGTCTTTGTAGTAGTGTTTTTGTAGTAGTGTCTTTGTAGTAGTAGTGTCTTTATAGTTGTAGTGTCTTTGTAGTAGTAGTGTCTTTGCAGTAGTGTCTTTATAGTAGTAGT